GCATCATCTACAAGTGTTTGTTATAACGGGACGTGTCAATGCGTTTCACGGCGGCACAGCGCGTAAGAGGTTGGCTTCTAATTCGAGGTACCGAGTTCCAGACATATCGAGCTTGATTCTCGCATCAGTCAATCTTCGTCTTTATGATGAATTCCATTGAGCAACGAGTTTATCACACTTTGCATCAGATCACTGTTGTGTGGATCGTAGAGGAGCGGACTCAGCAGAATCGAGAAATCCGGGCTTCGAGTCGCGGTACGGTTTCGCACGCCTTTCTTCCTTTTCGATGTTGATGAAGAAGTACCACCCTAATAAATGAGTGTGATGGAACACTAAACTGCACACCATGCTTGCCACGCAGCTGTCGTTGACTCTCCCTGAAAAACAGCGTAATCACCTTACTCGGCCAGTTGTACCGATGTTATGTGAGGTAAATTTCTTGCTCAGGGGAATTCGCGGTTAACACAATTTTTTCTCTATTACTCCTTTGCCAGGTATTCGCTTGTTGTCAGAACGTGAGCAAAAGGAGGTTGAGAATGCCGATCGTTGCCACCACTTTGGTAAATGCGACCGTTCCAAAAAATCAAGACAATTTGAAAAGCCTGTGATTCAGGATTGACACTACAAAACATTTATTGAAAAACAACACAAAAAATAATGTAGTCAATTCCATAATCGACCAATAGTCAATCGAGCACTTAGCGACGTTTCGGCTAGTCTTTCATAGCCTTCTTCAAAGTAGGAGATTGGTAAAATTTCGGAGTCATTTCTTGTTGTCTGCTGTGGTTGGTAGATTTGTAGATAAAAGGTCCTTGCTGCTGGCTAAACAGTTTCTCATCCTCTCCGTGCAAAGTTTCTCCGAGGATTAGGGAAAGTTAATTGCCCAAGGCTGCCCTTTAGTTTGTTTTAAGAGGCCTTATTTGAAGGTGGAATAATTTGCCTCTACTGTGTGCGAAGTTATGAATTTTATGACAGAATTGTTGTGAGATTAGAACGCTGTTTAAGTGAATTATCTCTTTGGAGAAGCTTACCGATTATTTTGATGGTAAGGTCAACCAGACTATTAGTAATTTAGTCTTTAGCGTTAATTAGCCATAACGCTCCCGCCAGAGAGCTCATTTGCTTCAGATTCTGACAGTTTTGTCTCTAATATTAGACACTCCTGGCATGGAAACAGATATCAACCCCCCTCCCCACCATGAAAACATCCCCATTTAAACACGGGTGCTATAATTGGTCCCGTTATGTAAGTATAAGGAAGACCGACATTACAAAGAGTACAAACTTATTTTATATTTGTTCCAGAGTTACTTTTTAAAAGGCCTGTAGCACTGCTTAAAATAGTTCTAAAAAGAAAATTTTCGTGGAAATCCAGGCACTGGTTTTTGATTAAGGCTTATTAAAATATTGGTTTATTTGATTAATTTTTTTAAACCTACTAATTTACTAGTTTGCTTAGGTTACAGGGGAGTGGTTGTGAACTCCAACCTCGCCAAATCCGGAGCAAGGTTCGCAACGATTTTGCATTTCAGAGTGATGATCCACCTGTGAATAGAGTTAAACCTGGTGCGTTTGCCCTCCCATTTTTGAGTGATGACCTCTGTTTTGGTGTCAGGCTTAATGAATTTTTGAATGCTGTGAGTATAAAAGCAAGATTATAATTGTACGGTGATGTACGAAGTTTAAAGTATAAATTTATTAACTTCTGTTTTTATCATCAGTTTAGTGTTAGGTGCATGTTATTTTTCGATGTAGAATTGTGCCCGGAGGTGAAGTGGTTTTTGACCGTATTCAAGTGATCGGTTCTAAAGATTGACCGGATACTACTGAGCTTCTTAAAACATGTGTCGAAATTATCATGGTTCAGTATGGTGTTTTGGGCTCGTTACAAACTGAACACTGTACTGTTGCTACTTTACTCTGACCTAATTCAAGAACGCATTTGCAAGTGCCGCGATACCGGCACCAAAACATAACTGGTAATCCGAGAATTACTCCAGTTTGGACCTTACCCGTAGGTCACTCTCCACTTGAAGATATAAGGTCGTTGCGGATCTTACGCTGCATTCAGTAGTGTTTGCTCATTAGCTGAACCTGAGCTAAGCTGTTTAAACAAATAAATAAAAAGGCCTATTTAAATGAACTAATATGTTTATTAGCTTTAATCATAAACCAGGGTTTAAATTCCCTTGAAAACTTCTTCTGAACAACGGTGGTATATTTTTTCTTCTTGTATGTATGAATTATTTTTCTTTTAACCGACAGCCACAGTTAGTCCGATAGTTTTTACTATCATCATCAGCAGCAGCATCTCCCTCCTCACCTTCACCATTATTATCATCGATTGTATCCTCAAATGGAGCAACAGTAACTGTCACTGTCATAATCAATATCAACATGACTACATCGTTTTCTGCTAGCATGGAGTACGTTCTCGATGTACGACGTAGTTGAAGGTATCCAGAGCACTGACCTCGCTCCTGACTTATCTGGTCAATACTTTCAGCCATTGATCACTTAGTAAAGAATTTATGTCCCTGTCTTCAACGGGGAGGGGGGGGGATCAAGGCAGAACGAGATACGAAAATGTTACCATTCACTGTTGTAGTTTCGAATGAAGCAGATCTCTGGGCGTGGATTTGGACTGCCATGAGAGGCATATATTTAGTGCAATTCTGAGTGAGCAAAGTCCCAGAGGCCGCATATTCTACTGTCGTGAAATGGAACTCAAGCCGCAGTACAACACACAACACTTTACTCCTGAATGACGGCTGAGAAAATCCGATAGCTGAATGTATTATATCCAGGGTCCCACTATAGGTGATGTCAGCGGCTGCATCTCTATGCACACGATACAAGAAGATGGCGGTTCAGTTCCACATGACGAGACAAAGACCGATAGAACGTGGTCAAGTAATGTAATAATAAAACCTTAGTTTATGCATTGTCAGAGTCCTGCTACTCCTGACCACAGATCCAGACAATGTTACGTGTATACTATTTGAAAATGAAATAGAAACCCCCACTCCGTCCCTCAGCACTATTCGAATGGTCAAGCTATCGGAATATATTTATTGTCTAGTGTCTATTGACTCCGTCATTCGCTGAACAGATTGTGACATTTGTGAATGTGTTTGTGCTTCCACAGCAATGACCTCGACTTCGACTGAATGTTTTCTGTTTCAGACAGTGTCGGACGTATTCTCTTGCAGTCCGGTGAAGAAGGAAACGTTGTTTTACATGAGCATGATTTGTCAGCTGGTCATCGTACCGTTTGTAAGCGTTTGCGACGAATTTGCGACACGTGTGATTGTTTGCTGCTTTTAGAACGGGTTTTGGTTTTGCGTTCTACTCTACCTACTGCTGTGCACCATCGCCGTGACGCTCAGCACCGTGCTGAAGCATTTGTACATGCGCTACATTGACAAGACTTTGCTGTACGGTTAGTTTTCTCGCCTCGCGTGCATCCTCACTTTTGATTGCAGTGTTGACAACGGCAACAACGGTTACTTGAATACGTACAATCCGCAGTACGACCCGTACAACATGACGCTGGAAGCACTGCCAAAGAGTTCCTCCATTGCCGGGTATGCAGCATGCACTAAACAAGACGGCCCGATGTTAGATAAACCTCCATGCAATATGGAAGCTTCAGTCTCAACCTCTGTTTTGCTTTTCTAGTAATGGCGGCGGCGCCTCAAGCGTTAGCTAGTTTTTCAAATGGTCCCGGTCCTTGATCCACAAGTTGGATAAACACCATGAGTTGGATTCCAAGTTACAACAGAGCTTGACTTCTTTATCACCTCACTGTCCTCCCTGACCTTTGCCGAACGAGTCAAACGACCTGAGAAATCAGGCGCTGAATCTGCTTTATATTTTGCTTTCGTTTAGACTGAACGATGCATTACAGAAGTTGGTCTCTCTTTACTGCCTGCATAACCTTACCGTAATTCACCTACCTTTGAGCGATATTGCGTACGCGTCTCTTCGAATCTACCGATGGTTGAAGTGTTTGTAGTAAACTTCTGTCATTATCATAAAACATCTAGTTTCTGAATTATGCACCAGAAACATTTGTATCGAAGATTGTCGTCAGTTAATTACGTGCCAGGTCAAAAATGAGATGACAGTTAATATTGATAGGTTCATGTGTCAGTAGTTTAATTATCCCCTTGATTTGTTTTAATTTCAAACTCTTGCATACGCCCAGTCCCATTGTTCTATTAATGCTATTTATTCAACTTTTTCATTTAATTATGTTTATTTAAAAAAAATCCTCGCGCTGATAAGAGTTTGCTATCAAGAAGCCAATTTTCGATATCGCCACTAAGAATAACTCATCACACTAGTCTGATAGTCTTGTAGGATTCTTCATTCTGCGCCTGATAATCTAGAAGATCGGTTAAACAGGCCACGGTTCCATGGTCGTTTGGCACTTGAGGTGCACAGACGCTAAGCCGCAGGAAAACCTGGTCTGACTTCAACTCTGAAGACGCTACTCCTAGACGTACATATATGAGCAAGGTGGTAGTTTTCGATACCACCGGTAAGAATGGCAGTCACCTGTAACCTCTCCGGATATGCACTGCGTAGTCGCACCCTCCCCATAATCCCAGTAGTATAAGGGACCGTTTGAGGAGGCCACGACTCCATGGTTGTTCAATACCTGCGCTGCATGGAT